CTCCACCACCAGCTCAGACCCTTAAAAGAGATGGTAATTTCGGAGTATTTAAATACACCAAAGATCACCACCTCCCAAGAGCACTAGAGCAAGTGAGGGGTCATTTAGACGTTAATTTCATCAAGTCCCTGTTAATATGGGAAGACACAGTGTCTATGCTTAAGGCACAACTCTCCTAAACACGAGAGTGAAGTATACAACTTTAGAACACTTTCCCACCAGGAGACTCGAACCCTAGCCAGCACAGAAGCCTTCCAGCAACTGGCATAACAGGTACGCCTTAACCCGCTCCACCACCAGCTCAGACCCTTAAAAGAGATGGTAATTTCGGAGTATTTAAATACACCAAAGATCACCACCTCCCAAGAGCACTAGAGCAAGTGAGGGGTCATTTAGACGTTAATTTCATCAAGTCCCTGTTAATATGGGAAGACACAGTGTCTATGCTTAAGGCACAACTCTCCTAAACACGAGAGTTAAGTATACAACTTTAGAACACTTTCCCACCAGGAGACTCGAACCCTAGCCAGCACAGAAGCCTTCCAGCAACTGGCATAACAGGTACGCCTTAACCCGCTCCACCACCAGCTCAGACCCTTAAAAGAGATGGTAATTTCGGAGTATTTAAATACACCAAAGATCACCACCTCCCAAGAGCACTAGAGCAAGTGAGGGGTCATTTAGACGTTAATTTCATCAAGTCCCTGTTAATATGGGAAGACACAGTGTCTATGCTTAAGGCACAACTCTCCTAAACACGAGAGGGTCTGAGCTGGTGGTGGAGAGGGTTAAGGCGTACCTGTTATGCCAGTTGCTGGAAGGCTTCTGTGCTGGCTAGGGTTCGAGTCTCCTGGTGGGAAAGTGTTCTAAAGTTGTATACTTCACTCTCGTGTTTAGGAGAGTTGTGCCTTAAGCATAGACACTGTGTCTTCCCATATTAACAGGGACTTGATGAAATTAACGTCTAAATGACCCCTCACTTGCTCTAGTGCTCTTGGGAGGTGGTGATCTTTGGTGTATTTAAATACTCCGAAATTACCATCTCTTTTAAGGGTCTGAGCTGGTGGTGGAGCGGGTTAAGGCGTACCTGTTATGCCAGTTGCTGGAAGGCTTCTGTGCTGGCTAGGGTTCGAGTCTCCTGGTGGGAAAGTGTTCTAAAGTTGTATACTTCACTCTCGTGTTTAGGAGAGTTGTGCCTTAAGCATAGACACTGTGTCTTCCCATATTAACAGGGACTTGATGAAATTAACGTCTAAATGACCCCTCACTTGCTCTAGTGCTCTTGGGAGGTGGTGATCTTTGGTGTATTTAAATACTCCGAAATTACCATCTCTTTTAAGGGTCTGAGCTGGTGGTGGAGCGGGTTAAGGCGTACCTGTTATGCCAGTTGCTGGAAGGCTTCTGTGCTGGCTAGGGTTCGAGTCTCCTGGTGGGAAAGTGTTCTAAAGTTGTATACGCCCCTCCCGAGCTGATAGGGGGGGGGGGGGTAGGGTGGTAGCCAACGCGCGGGCAGGCAGGTGGGGTAGCCAGCGCGTGGGCCGAGCCGGGCGACTGGGTGGCCTGGGGGTTGCCCCCGGGCATACACACGTTGACAGGGAATCACCAACAACTCCAGCAAACCAGAGCCTGCCTTGCTCTACACTGGGGTGACAATGGCCGGAGGGGTCCCCACACTGACGCCGCCTGGCGGAACTCAAAGTCCAACATAGGCCTGTAATCTCACCACAATTAGACTAGGAGGCCCTGCTCGATTCCGCCAATTGTCCAACAACACTAGACAGGTTATTCAAACCACCTGTTACACCATGAGGCTCTGCCAGCTGCCTCATGGGTGAACACTGTCAACTGTCTCTTTAGCTTTTTACTGTTCCTTCCGTAAATCCTTGGCCCCAATTCACGCCAATTGGGCCTTGACACAACCCCTGATGGCAGGAGTGCCATGCTCGATGAGTAATTTGGACGACAGAAGCGATTAACGGGGGTGGAGATGGCAGGCCTGCCACCTCCACCAGTCACTTCTTCCTCCGCTTGCAGCTCAATTCAAACTGACTCTATGGCGGGCAGGGAAACTCAAATGCCCATATCTCTCCCCCCCCCTACTTTGTCTTGACCAATCAGCACGAAGCCGGCACTGTTCCCTCGTGCCGCTACCAATCCCAGCCTTTCGCGCCAAAACACAGCTCGGAGCATACATGCCTACTCCAATCACAGGCCTCAGGCATCCCGTGATGTCACAAGGAGGGGGAGGCCTAAAGACAAGGCGCATTGTCTCACATGTTGGGGGGGGGGGCAACGTTCACCCCACTCTCCCCCCCCCTCACTTCTAACGGTTTTAGTCAAGTATCCTCTCATACCATTTCACTCTCACCTCATCCTATTTCACAGAAACAGGGAAATCTCTGTAATTCTCTCTACAGAGCAATCACAGACCTCTAACCAGTCCCAACCGACAGTCCTTAACATAAGCTTTCATTCAACACCCCACAAGTATATGTTAGTTTGAAAGCTTCAGTTTCTAGAGCGACTAGCCTAATCTAGAAACTAGGAAAACTAGCTGAGGGAATCTAGATTCCCTCACAATGTCTGAGGAAAATCTGGACACACCCAAAGGTACGCACGGCCCTAAATCAATGGCAGTGCCCCTGGAAATTTATACCTCCCAGAGCACCATGGCACGAAAGCTTCTATGAACGCATGGTTGTTACTGTGAAACGTTCTCTATGGAAAACCCTACACCGTCAAAAGATTGACCTACAGGAGCTCCAAACCTAAGCCATAGAGATAGAAACACGAGTTAATAACCGACCACTTACCTACCTCTCTGATGATGTTTTGCAGCGTGAACCTTTAAGTCCAGCTCATCTGATGTATGGAAGACCTCTCAGCACCCTAGTGTCCTTTACGGATGAGGAACCAGAGGATCATTCATATCTCCGAGAAAGTGATTTGGTTCAATGTTTCAAACATCTATCAGGAGTGATAAGTCAGCAGAATGACGTATGAACTCGAGAATACCTTACTGCTCTGAGGGAGGATCATTAAGGGGCAAACAACCCCTACAACAGAATTAACTTGAACCCTGGCAACATAGTTCTGGTAGACAGTGATGGGCCACGCTCAGAGTGGCCTATAATCCAAATAGTCTCTGTTCATGCAGAACTTCAGGGCATCTTGAGAATAGTGAAAGTAAAATGCCGAGGCAACACTACTCTCAAAACATTAGAAAAACTAGTTCTTTTAGAACTGGCCGGAAAAGAAGACGTTCAACGACTTCCAGCACCTGAAGAGCCAGTAAGGGACATCTGTTCCGAACGGACCGCGGCAAAGCAATGCAAGCTCAAATTAAAGAACCTCTCTAGTTCTGAGGGCAAAGAATAAAGTGATTGCAGTCTTTACCGGGACTTTGACCCGTGTTCCCTCCTCCCCCCCCCCCCTTCCCTGGAATTATGTCGGAAATCGGACACACATAATAACATAAGTTACCCATTAAAGAAAAAGAGAACTGGTATTCCATGACGTCATACAAGACATATATTATATATCTCATCTCTTTTTAAACCTCAGTCTAGTATTTATACTTAATAAAAAAGTGTTCACTAGGACTGAATATAATTTCCAACACCAGGAATATAGCTTAACTCTCTATTCCTTAATCATAAATAGAACCACCAAATATTTTAGGATGTCTCCCTTAGGCATTATCACATACACGCAGCAATTTGTAAACACAGTGAGGAAGCACTCCCTGACAAATTTTACAACACATAACGGTTCTTCCTCTGAGCTTCAATTCAGGGTCCTCTACGATCCGCCCAACCGAAGATCTCATGAACAAAGGAAAGAACAACTTTCAGTATTTCTATTGCATTTAATACTGGCCATTATTATTATTATTGAAGGAAATATCGTTAAGACGTGGGAGTAAATCTCCAAATGAAGTGAGTTTACTCAGCATTACACACACATATTCCTTGACATACCTGTACTTATATGTTTAAGGAACTATTATTAATTCCTTACACTCGGTAGGTAATTGTGTGTTGGAGTTACAAGTATCTGAGCAGACCAATATAACTGTGATTGCAGCCACTAGCTGTACATCAAGCCTTGTAGGCCTCCAGGCAGCCACCATTACTTGGCACTCTGAGGCACAGAGCCACACCTAATTCGGATACTACAATTACACAGCCTTAGCAGGCCCCACCAACAGTATCAGCTAAGGTCCCCTTTTATTTTATACTGTAGATAGATTAATTATAATTACAGTAGATTAGACCACCAAAAGGTAATGATTTTTAATTTATATATCAAAGACTAGGTAAACAATATGTGGTTTAGGAAGGATCCACCTTTAATTGGTTTAAGGTACAAATTGTCCCCACAACTGTGTGTGAAATATTTTTGCAGGCTGAATTAGAATATATAGAGTCCACTACTATCTAACTAAGAACTAAGAACTAACTCAGAAGAAAAATAATCAAATAAAAATAATATAATATTAAAGTCAATTAAAAATTAAAAATAAAGTAAATATTAGAATATTCAATGAATAAGAACAATTAAAGCTTGCTAATATTTTCCGCAGGTGGTCATGCCATTGCTGGTGGTGACGCCATGGCTGGTGATGACGCAATGGCTGGTGGTGACGCCATTGCTGGTGGTGACGCCATTGCTGGTGGTGACGCCATGGCTGGTGGTGACGCCATGGCTGGTGGTGACGCCATTGCTGGTGGTGACGCCATGGCTGGTGGTGACGCCATGGCTGGTGGTGACGCCATGACGCCATGGCTGGTGGTGACACCATGGCTGGTGGTGACGCCATTGCTGGTGGTGACGCCATTGCTGGTGGTGACGCCATGGCTGGTGGTGATGCCATTGCTGGTGGTGACGCCATTGCTGGTGGTGACGCCATGGCTGGTGGTGACACCATGGCTGGTGGTGACACCATGGCTGGTGGTGACGCCATGGCTGGTGGTGATGCCATGGCTCATGGTGACGCCATGGCTGGTGGTGAGGCCATAACTGTTGGCGATGCAATGGCTGGTGATGACTCCATGGCTGGTGACGTTATGGCTTGTGATGACTCCATGGCTGGTGTTAACTCCAAGGCTGGTCGTGATGTTATGGCTGGTGGTGATGCCATGGCTGGTGGTGACACGATGGCTGGTTTTGAGACCATAGCTAGTGGTGACGCCATGGCTGGTAATGTCGCAATTGCTAGTAGTGACGATGCCATCGCTGATGGTGACGATGTGATGGCTGATGGTGACGATTGCATGGCTGGTGGTGATGATAGTAGTGGAAACCGGACCAAACACGTGATATTTTGTTTTTTTCCCATTTTCGTTACTCCACTGACCCATGCACAGGCATTGCTGATATGCATGTCTTTCGCCCCGGGGTTTTGCAAACTTTTTTCCCACGCATGTCTTGGCCCCTGGGTTTTTGCAAACTTTTCTCACCACGCACGTCATTGGCCCCTGGGTTTTTACGAACTTTTTTCACCACGCACGTCATTGGCCCCTGGGTTTTTACAAATTTTTTTTCCACACACTTCATTGGCCCCTGGGTTCTTACAATCTTTTTTCACAGCGCTCGTCTTTGGCCCGTGTATTTTTCGTTACCCCGCTGACCCATGCACAGGCATTGCTAATGGTCAATGACGTCATCAACTTACCTGGGAATTAAAAGGCCGGCTCCTGGCACACCCAAATTCTGTTCCCCTGGTGACCCTGCACAGACATTGCTAATGGTCGCTCCGTCTTCTTTTTCCCCGAATAAGTCCATTTTCTGTTATAGTGTATTTATTCCCATTTTTCAATATTAATAGCAAAGGGGGATTCAAATGGTGCCTTCTGTCAAGCCTAATGTGCAATGGTGTTAACCATTATAAGCTCGTTTTTCAAAATAAGGTATTGCCATACTATTACCCATTGTCTAATATAATTTTATAGCTAAGATAACATATTAACATAAGAAATAAGTTCAACCCTGTTACAGAACCAGTATTTACCCAAGTCATTTTCCTAAATCTTTGTCAATCTGTCTTCAAGGTTTGCTTATTGATCATAGGGCAAATAAAAATGTAAAACCCACTATCATTCATTTGTATGAAAACAGTCCCCTGCCAGGCGTGGTGATTCCCATGCGATTTTTGTAGTAATCCAATATTGCTGCATAAACGCATAAATGTATTTTGCACGTGCATAAATATATATGCACATCTCACATTCGCTCAAAAACATGCCTCCCACACCTTGCTGTAGAATATAACAAATCAAAAAAATACTTATTCAGTAAAAGCAAGCCTCTCATGTTTTGAAATAAGTCCTTCTGCAGTTACCTTCTTTTCTGACGTCATCATCCCTAATGCGGTGTGAGGCGCCAACGTGCTAAATGCGGATCCCAGGAGGTTCACACATAAGCGTGAACTCTTAATCAGGCTTAATACCTCAACTGTACTCCATTAGAGACCAATATTCAGCTACATTGGCTCGTATTTTCGCTCATTGCTCATATCTACTGTTATTCATTTCATAAACCCTATCGTACCATCCTAACCTAACTTATTATATAGCAAACAAATGCATTCTACAGACCAGTTGTTGCTATTTAGCCACATCACGAAAAGCAACCTCAGTATAGGGATAAGGTATTGTTGGCCATTACCATATAAGTGTCAAGGTATCACAGCACCTAAGGAGCCGGTCGGCCGAGCGGACAGCACGCGGGACTTGTGATCCTGTGGTCCTGGGTTCGATCCCAGGCGCCAGCGAGAAACAATGGGCAGAGTTTCTTTCACCCTATGCCCCTGTTACCTAGCAGTAAATAGGTACCTGGGAGTTAGTCAGCTGTCACGGGCTGCTTCCTGGGGGTGGAGGCCTGGTCGAGGACCGGGCCGCGGGGACACTAAAGCCCCGAAATCATCTCAAGATAACCTAACTGGTCAACTATGTATGACGTCACCAGATGACCAATGCGACCTTTAGCGTCCTACCTGTATATGTACTGTATTTGATGTTACTATTATAAATGGCTATACTATCCATCCCCACCTAACCTAATCGGAGGTTTAAGAATATACATTTTAATTATTCACAACTGTAATCATTATTCGGTGATAAATGCAAAAGTATAAGAGCAACCCAAATGTCATACCGCTATTTTTGCAGAATCGTACATCTGGCAGCATTGTAGGTGAGCTGAACATAAGAATAAAGGTAACTGCAGAAGTCCTATTGGCCCATACGAGGCAGCTCCTATATATCTCCACCCAATCTCATTCATATTCATGTCCACCCTTTGCTTAAAACAACCAAGGGATCCACTTAAAGTATTAGTTTACAATAATAGTTTTAATAAATAGCTTTCATTCTAGTTTTATACACAACAGCAATTATGAAACCCTATAGCTAGATATCGTACTATAATCCACAAGTAGTTACCACACATCTGGCAGCACAGCGGATTAGTAGCTGTGTTCATAGGCTAGTCAACTGTCCTCACATCCATCAAATAGATATCCAAATATCGCACCTCAGTTCATCCATCTAGCAACTCAGCTGGATGCTAGCCACTATATTCATAGGCTAATCATTTCTACACCTCAAAAAATCCTAGTCTTGCTACGCAAAGCAGGTAACTTGTTTCTAAGCCAACACTCGCAAATGCATGCATACATACCTACACATACTCCACAACCTATACATTCATAGAGAATAGCTTAGTTTTTTGCCACCATTTCCCCATTAATCAGATGTAAGTTATGCCATACACAGAAAATACAGCATTTACACACCAAATATGCCATTTATGCACAAAATATATTATTTACACTCAAAATATACCATCACACAAAAATATGACATTTACATACAAAATATATCAGTTGCACACAAAAATATACCATTTACACAATATTGCATGTACACTCAGAGTATGACATTTACACAAAGTATGGTATTTGCACAAATATATCAAAATGCTTATGCATTTAGACAATAAAAAATGCGATTTCACTAAAATTCCACAATTCCACATACATAATTTTCACAAAATACCCATACATTGCCTCATAAAACAAAATACACTTACGCTATTAAGGTCTATTTTTTTCAGATTACAGAGCTTACACAAAATACACAATTTGCACACAAAAATACAGTTGCACCAGTTCCACTTCAACAAATTAAAAACACAACTTGCATAAATGTGCTATTAGAACAAGTAAGTAAGTAAGTAATTATCAAAAGAAGGCACCAAACCGGGAAGGCTATGTAGCACCATCAAATACGCAAAATAATCAGAGGGCGCTAAATATCACCAAGGATGCCAATACGAGAACAAAAACGCATAAGGCGAACGATATCAAAAGTATCCGAGTCACCAAGAATTCTATCGAGGGACAGGTGACCGCGAGGGGCGGTCGGAAAGCAAGACACACGCTCGTCCTGGAAGTCAGGACATTCAAGAAGGACATGCACGACCGTAAGAGGGACAATGCAACTAGGACAATAAGGAGCAGGGCGGCGCTCCATCAAGTGACCATTGGTTAAGCGAGTATGGCCAATACGCAACCTCGCCAGAGCTGTTTCCCACAGCCGGTTACGGTGGAAGGAGGACGGCCACGAGGAAACACAACATTAAGAGTACGTAGCTTGTTACCAGTAACAGACAACCAAGAAGCCTGCCAACGGGTAAGGACTGAGGAATGGATAACCGGGTAAAAGTAGGAATACAGAATGCCTTTACGAGAGATGGGACAAGAGCGGACAGCTTCCTTCGCGGCAGCATCCGCACGCTCATTTAAAGACACGCCAATATGGCTGGGAACCCAACAAAACTCAACCGACTTAAATTTACTGTGAACGAGAAACAGCCAATGCTGGATCTCGACAACTACTGGATGAACTGGATTAAAGCACCCAAGAGCCATGAGGGCACTACGAGAGTCAACAACAACCACAAAGGAAGACTGACAACGAGAAAGCAGGAGACGAAGAGCATAGAGAATAGCATAAAGTTCCGCTGTAAAGATGCTAGTCTCCGGAGGCAAGCGACACATATAAGTGCGATCAGGAAAAACAACAGAGCAGCCAACACCGTCCGCTGACTTAGACCCATCGGTGAAGACAGAAACGGAGCGGGAGTGAGAAGAAAAGTGCTCGAGGAAAAGGCGTTTTAGAACCGTAGGAGGGGTAAAAGCTTTAGTGATACGAGTCAAGGATGTACAAAACCGCGGAAGAGGGACCCTCCACGGGGGCAAAGAAGAAACAGCACGAGGAGAAACATCAGAAATACGAACGGAAAGAGAATCCTGTAGGCGAGATAACCGGACAGAAAGAGGGAGGTGGTGAAGAGGAACACGAACCGCAGGAGGGGTAAAAGTTAAAGCACGACAGAGGCGAGAGGAAGGATGTTGCAAGGACCGCGCAAGATAGCGAAGACAGTAGCGATCACGGCGGTCCTGGAGAGACAGGAAGCCAGTGTCAACATACAAGCTAAAGACGGGAGTCGAACGAAAGGCACCAGAACTGAGGCGCAACCCAGTATGGTGCAAAGCATCAAGACGGCGAAGAGTAGAAGGAGAAGCAGACGAGTAAGCAGGGCAACCATAATCGAGCTTAGACAGGACGAGAGAGGAATGTAAAGCAAGGAGAGTGCGCCTATCTGCCCCCCAAGAAGTATGGGACAAGACCCGAAGGAGGGTAAGGGCCTTAGAGCACTCAACACGGAGGTAAGAGATATGGGGAGACCAAGACAAACGAGTGTCAAGGAATAACCCCAAAAGCTTCGCGGAATCTTTGTATTCAAGGGGATGACCATAAAGTGACAAAGAGGGACGAAGAACAACCCGTTTCCGCGTAAAAGTCATGGCACAAGTCTTAGAAGTAGAGAACTTGAAGCCATGACCTGTGGCCCAAGACGACACGGCATCAATTGCAAGTTGAAGCCGGCGTTGAAGGAGAGGCGAATCATCACCCTGACAACAAAGGGTAAGATCATCGACATAGAGAGCGGAGAAGACACCAGAAGGAAGAGAGGAAAGAAGACCATTGAGGGCAACCAGAAAAGAGTAGTGCTCAGAACACTACCCTGGGGCACACCTTCGTATTGCTGAAAAGAGGGAGAGAGAGCGGTACCAAGGCGCACCCGAAAGGAACGACGAGAGAGGAAGCTGCGGAGAAAGAGAGGGAGATGACCACGAAGGCCAAAAGAATGAAGTTGAGATAGGATATGATAACGCCAAGTGGTGTCGTAAGCCT